GGGGGGATCGTCGCTTGTGGGTTGTAGGAAAAGGAGGAGCATTGGGGGTGTTTGAAAATGTTCATAAAACAGGAAGGTTGAAAGAGGAGAGGGAATGGACTGAGAAGAACAGGGGCTAAAAGGAGTGCTGGCAAATTGGTGACATGATCTCATTCATTAGCCATCCAGCCATATTTGAAGATGCCTGAAAAGTATGCAGTTCAAATAGGGCATGCAGCTGATTGCGATCCATTTTTTTCCCAAGACAACACTGTCCATCTGTGATGTGTTGATATGAAGAGCTTTTTATCTTTGGACGAGAACGGCCCTCTGACACTCAGGAATAATGAGGGCCATCTGCTCAACTAATTACTGTACAGTGGTTTATATTTATCAGGGCTCAAAGTCTCCATATAAAGTAGCGCATGCACCATCACTCTGATAAACACTACAGTTTGAAGTGTTATTCTATTGTTCCCCTCAATCATCAGTTTTGTTTTGATTTTTCTTCTGGAATCTTCCTCTGCCATTGGGATTTTCATTTCCATGAGGTTGTCATGATCTCTTTTCTGATTTATCATTCCAATCCCTCACACATAATGTATACCATATGGCAGGGACCCATATTTGGTAACTATGTCACAGAAGAACCACTGGGAATTTGCAAAGCCAGTCAGCAAATATTAATGATGACAATGGGGAAATCTAGAGCGGAATATCGTTGCCTATTTAGAAAATAATCATCCCTTCATTTTCAAAATACCGCTTCCTCATCTGGTTTACGGGCTTGCTGACAACCTGAACTGGTTGTCAGTCAGTCGCTGAGCACACCTGTTCACACCTTCGGCAATTTCGAGTCTTCAGCTAATTTAAGAAGCATGTTTTTCCGATGTGGCATGAAGGCAGAGTTTCTAATCCGGATCTCTCGACTATGCGGCAGACATGCGCACAAGGACAAATAACAGGACCCACTTTTGAGAGCAGATCAGAGCTCCATCGGGAAGCTGTGTTGAACAATGTGTACAGATGAAATAGAGATAAGATGGGCATAAATGTCAGTTCAGTGTTTCGTAAACACGGTTGATCATGCCCTTGGCTGATCTGAATATGCTGGAAGAGTGTAACTGCAGTTACTTTGATAAAGTTTGTGATGCTATGTGACATTTTCCATTCTCAGTGTGACAAAGATGACAGTCCGATTCAGTATTTGATCTCTTTTAGATCCAATACAAGACCATATCAAAAAACAATCTGAGAAGTACGTCCTTACTTTGTGGCCACTGATTGTATAATGCATGTTGACTTGTACTGTCCAAAATATTATATGAATAGAAGAAAAAAAAAGTTAAATCCTAACTTGGGTCACAATTGCTGTGAAATTAAAGTCACTTCATGTTAAGAAGAATCTGCACCAAAAGTGAATGAGCACACCCCCAAAATCTCTGCAAACTTTCATTTTTTAATGTATTCCTATCAACAAACGTGCAAACAAACAACACAGACAGAGTGAAGAGATGTGAAAGTTTGAAGAAATCTGGATTTCAGATTTCTTTTTACCACTGTGTGTTTTTTCACACCTAGGGGTAAGTCTGGGTTCAGAGGTGTCAGGGTGCTGAGCTCTTGCCAGGCACGATAAATTCCACTCTTACAGTTAAGGGTATACCTCGCCTATTGCCCAAAGACAGCTGGGATCAGCCCCAGCACGACCCTTGTAAGCAGATAAGAAAATGGATGGATGGATGGATGGATGAATGGATATTTTAACGCCATTTCATTCCCACATTTATGTAAGAGAAGCGCAATACTTAAGTGGCTCCTAAGTGAACTATGAATCCCGATTGATTTTACAGTCAAGTGCCAGCAAGACCTGGTGACCTCGGAGGTGACTGTGGCGAAGGTCACAGCTTCTTGGATTTGATCCTTCACTTAGGGCGATAAAGCAGGCTAGACAAGGGCTCCCGCTGAATCATGGGAAGAACCTTGCTGCGAGGGGAGAGGTCAGCGTATATGAGGAGGCCGGTGTTTCTCTTCTTGCATCGAGGGCACACACTTCTGGGCAAGGCCAATGTGACTGGGAACAGTTAATACCCGTAAATGCCATCCAGAGGGAGGCGCAATGTTTTTCGTTGTGCAACAGCAGGCGAGACAAGAAAACTAAACAGGCGTTGGTTTTAATACCACCACCTTTTAAGCTTATATAACATGAGGTCACAATATACCAGCCAATGTTGTCCACATTGCAAAAACAATCTACAGTAAGAGCAACTGCCAGATCACACGCCACATGCTAATGAATTAGAAGAGTGCTTTTTTTTTTTTTTAAATCAGGTGAAATGTGAATTCTTTTCCAAACAACACTCCCAGACAGAGTTGGTTATATAAGTCCCAGAAAATCTTTGGATTCCCACTAGCCTGATGTGTTTGAGGTACATGATTGCTTTCAGTTGGACAGTCTTTCTGGGAGAGTGAGATAAAACAGAAATTATCCTTGCTGACTTATGGCTTGCAAATTCGCACATGTATCAGTGGTATGGCAAAGAACAGAACATGCTGTTTTTCCAGGGGGGTAGCGATGATGGTGGTGATGAGGAATGTCAGCATCTGTGTTTGGGATTTTTGTTTCCATTTTACGGCTCTTTTTTTCCAAAGATGCCAGCACATGGACCACACTTCGAACGTGTCCTTCCACGTGGCCAGCAAAACCCCTCAACTATATTAAATGGATTACCTTTAGGACAAATATCTTATCAGTTCTGTTCAATAATGGACTGGATACATTCACAGATAAGCACAAATTACTCTCTGACAGTCAACACGGTTACAGAGCAGACACATCAACATCGCTGGCAATGTCAAAAGCTATTCAAGAAATAGCACACGTTATTGATTAGACATATACAGCTGTGTGTGTGTGTGTGTGTGTGTGTGTCTCTCTCTCTCTCTCGCTCTCTCTCTCTCTCTCTCTCTCTCTCTCTCTCTATATATATATATATATATATATCCACACACACACTAGACTGGTTGACCAGGGCCTGTGAGTGCTCCTTTTATTTTATATTTATTTTTTTATGTTTTACAATGCTATAGGCAGCCATTATTTGGGGGGAGAAAATGTGACACTAGCAAATGGATTGTGTTCAATCTTACAAGTTCTACATTGAGTGTATAGACCTGGTGACTCCAACTTTCTGTTTATGAAGTGCATAATCATAACAAGCCAGACACACTAGAAATCTAGATCTCATCCTCACATGTTAATAATAAAAAGGATAGAAAATTGCTGTTTTCTTTGCGGTCGTGTTAATCTCTCTTCTAATGTTACAGCTGAAGTCACATGTTTCTTCACTTGTTTGGTCCTGCTCTGATTACACATAGCTGGGGATTGGTTTCCCCATAAATACCCCCATACAGAAGTTAAGTTTTTCTCTGGTGTGGGGGTCTATAAGGGATATAATTACACGTAACACTGTGATTACATAATTTTCTGTTTTTAGAAAACCAGAGAAAGAGGGGTGACTTAGCCTGTTTCTGAAAGAGAGGTAATTTAAGCGCTCTGTCAGTTTACTGGTAGAGACAAACATGGCATATCCTGTTGATAATGATCCCTTGGATGAAGCTGTTCCTGTACTGAGAATTGAATATTCATCAGGAGATGGTTATCAGATTGCACATAGATGTTTTACCATTTTCAAACATTATCTTTTTGAACAGTTTCATTTCATGTCCATCATCGACATACACAACCTAAACTGCCCTTACATTTGCAACATTACCAATCGTAGTCATGCTCTCACATCTCAGCAGAATTGTGCTTGCGTTTCTTTGCAAATTGAGGTGTTTTGGGGTTTTTTTGTTTTTTTTCTTGCACAAAGTTGGAGATGCTCAGAACTTAATGAAGGCAACTGTATGCGGGGCGGTCAGAAAAGTGTTTTATGTCGATGTCTTAGCTGTTTGAACAATGTTTTTATATTTCATCTTCAGCTGTTGCCAAGTGCCTCAACACTTTTAGCACAGGCACGATTGATTTATTCCAGTGAACAACAAATTAACTTGCCAGAATCATTAATAGTTTTTAAAAACAAAATGTGTTTACCAGAGCCTTCAAAGATGAAACAAACAAAACAACAAACATGTTATTGAAGTCTCCTCCGAATAACTTAACTATTTCGATGGTTTTCTTATCACACTACTGTATATACTGTACAGAGGCCCTATTGTCAATCACTCAAACCTGCAGTGATCATTTTTCATATTTGTCACTGCTACTTTGTGATAACTTCACAGGAACTACAAGTGGTCAGTACTGTATTGGGTTGATTAAAAAAAAAAAATAACAACAATGTGTTAAAAGGAAATTGAGTCATATTATGAGGGGTGTAGCTATTTCCTGGACAAAAGCAGTGACTTCCTAGACGTAACGGTTGCCCGACAATAGTCTGTGATAGGACCAGTGGACTGGTTGTAAGGAGTACTACATGGGGCCAAAATTAGACAGAGCCAAATAGTCTCTCTCTCTCTCTCTCTCTCTCTCTCTCTCTCTCTCTCTCTCTCTCTCTCTCTCTCTCTCAATAACAATTGTATTCATAACCTAAAACAACTGACATTGTATGAGACAATACAAACATTAAATCAATATGGATCAAGCATTAAAACCAATTCGAATGTATGTAAAAGAAAAATCTGAAGATTGAGATGTTGCCGAATATATGTTGTAACCAACATGTCCTTTGCCATTCAAATCCGAGCTAATCTAATCGTTGATGATCATGGCCTATAATATAGGCCCTATATGTTTCCTGAAAACTGTAAGATCACCATTAAAACGAGCGTGTTTGAACACACTCGCAGGCGCGCAGACACACGGAGGAAATCCTGCTTTGCATCTCAGTGAGTTGTACCAATAGGAACACGCGACTTCACTTTTTTTGCATGGGATGAAGGGGGACAGAAGGGGAGGAGGGTATTTTACTCCTCGTTCCCTCCTCCTCCTCCTCCTCTTCAAACCCGTGAAGATGCACAAAAAAATAAATAAATAAAAAAGAAAGCCACGACCCGCCCCCCTTTCCATTCCCATGGATCGTGTTACTGGAGGCTCCTCGACATCTGCTCCTCCTGCTAACAACAGTGCGCGCTCCCGCGTCTCGAACCCGCGCCTCCGGCACCTCCTGCCCTCTTCCCAGGACCACTGAGCTCTCTTATTTTTTTTGTGCCTGCGAGAGATCATGTGGAGCCACTGTGCATGTGCCCTCCACCTTTACCGGCTTTAGCTCTCCTCTCCGACGGAGGACGCGCCTCCCGGTCTCTCTCCATCCAGTCCCGTACGTCAAACCGAACCCGAGGTCGTTACCATCGAACGGAACACCGACTGCTGCTGGCCGGAGGTTTTGCCGATTTGCGTCCTCTGTTTTCCGTCAGAGGACAACTAAGGACGGATGCGCGCAGCGGTGGTGTCTGATGTTTGAGAAGGCTGACTATAGTGGTTTTAAATTTACATTTCTGAGAGCATGGAGTCTGTGGAGAAGGAGTGTGGGGCGCTGGGTGGATTGTTCCAGGCAATCGTCAACGACATGAAGGTAAGAGAAACATTTGAATAGACTCTGATCTTGTTGTTGCTGCACAGTTTGTGATCAGAAATAATTTTACTGCCTTTGTGTCTTTCCTTGCCCCCCTCCTCCGCTTCCCAATGTCTGCAAACAACCCTGCAGTACAAACTGGGAGATGAATCATGTTTTACTTTGTTTTATTTGCAGAATGTGCAGCAGGTTTTACCCATGTATGGTCTTCTGCAAGTACTTTTGAAAAGATGCTTCAGAGGCTATACACTTTATTTTTTTAACCCCCCCCGCCCCCCACCCCCCTCCACACACGCACAAACAAATATATATACAGTATGTGTTTTTTTCTTATTGTTATGATTTATTTCTATAGGGTTATATAGTATATTATTATAGTATATGAAAAAATACTGACAACTAGCATACTATTTTGTATTTTTATTGTTGAAAAATTATAATAAATGAATGAACACCTCATCCCTATTAAAGATCTCATACTCTCTAGTTGAGTAAACAAACAAGCCTAGCTATCATATGAACCGCAATCTTGTTTATATGTATTTCAAGGATACTTCCATCATGAATGGAGATTTTATGGATTTACAAAAGGAGTCAAAAACAATAATTATAGTAGGTAGTGGGAAAATAAAACCATCAATTATTGCAAGTGAGACAATTTTGTGCTCTAATAAAAATGTTGGAGTTGACCTTTATCCTCTTTTATCCCATCTTGTACATTATTACGAGATTAAAATCTCAGCCATGGAGGGATGCTTTTAATAATCGACCAGCCCTTTACAGAAAAAGCTACTAAGAATTGTTATATAATATGCCCTGTAGTGTAATTGATTTGACACGCATGGTGAGTTTTTTTTTTATGTTTTTTTGTTTTTTTTTTAAATCCCCAAAACTTAAGTGAACTAGTTTCTAAAGCAGCAACTATTTGCATCCCATTATGTTCGACACAAATTCAAGCATGTGTTTGTTGTGTGTTGGGGGAGGAGGTTTTCAAGTGAGAGAAGTTGAATCCGTCGTGGTCCGTGGTTGTTCACGACAAAAGATGGAAAGTGCAAACACGTTCATTAGGCCTGAGAGACAGACCTCCAGAAAGTGTTCCTGTTAGCTTGTCTTACTTGATGTTTACAAGAGCTTTTCAAGTACGTCGAGCATCAAGCAGAATTGTTATTGATCGCTCGGTGGCAGGGAACCACGTTGCCTTTGGACAAACTATTTATGGACCCTCCGTCAAGCTCCAACCAAATTAGCTCTCAACAATTGGCAGGCTCTGGTTTAGTTTCATGTATTTCCTTTTGTGTTGGGTACACACACATAGAGACAAGATCAGTAAAAAAAAAAAAAAAAGTATTGAAAAGCAGATGAATGAGGCTGAAGCCCTGAGTCAGCAGTGTCCGCGTCCACTGTCGTAGACAGAGAGCTGACCTCATTCATGCCGCCTGGCTGGTCAATACAAGCCTGCCAGACCAGCTTTGCCCCCAGGGGCTGCACAGAACTACAGTTTCCTGTGGTGATCTCAATTGTTTGCAAAAGACTGATTAATGTTACTGTCTGGTGTGTAGTGCTCCAACACAAAAACAAAGTACAAAACTTAAGTCACTGAACGCACGGGGCAAATTGTCTTGATTCTCGCTGCACTTGCTGGTTATGTAACTGCAACAGTAAAAACATATGGAAGCACATGGAGTGGAAAAAGATGGTGTGGGTGAAGAAAAGTAAAATTATTCATCAACAATGATTTGAAGCACCCGAAAAAGGGATTTCCTGTGAGGAAAAACAACTACCCGGCCACTCACTTATATGATGGAACCTTTTAGGTCGCAGCAAATCAGTTCTGAAGAGTGAGGATTGCTAGAGGTGGCTTGACTGCTATTCAGTATTTTAAAGCTTATAAAAGAACAAATTGGTTTACTATTTCATTAACTGTTGATTTCCCGCTCAGATTTGTGATTTTTCTTCATATTCTCAACATGTTGCTGCTTTTTGCAATATTGTACTAAGCAGACACCTCAGACCACTTTTCTCTTGACCTCATGAAGCTCGCTGGTGAGCTGGGATACCCCTTGGATTGGACGGCTGCCAATGTCAGGGCATTTTGGTGCAGCTTAAGATGTGCAATTTTTATTTTGTTAAAGAGGTTCCTCTGTATATCTGTACATACCAACCTGGACGGACGACATCTGTATCCTCCTCAGATGGTGGCTCTGGTTGAAAAGAGATGTGACATCCCCCCACCTCGGCCCTTTGCTTGCATCCTCTGTGCCCATCATTCTTTGTCGCCTCCTTCAGCTGTCTTGGCATCACAGCCTTCCTTCAACAGGGAGCTACGAGCTAATAAGACACCTGTTAGAAAGTCAAGTGCAGAGCGCATGATAGGATGGTGCCTTGCAAACCCTCTAACTTGGTCGCCCCTAAATCATTGGGACAACCGCAAAACAGGGCCTGAAATAAATGCTAGAGGTAGAGTGATTAAAAACAAAAGCAGTGGCCCCACCGCTGTCAAATGATGAATGATGAATGAGAGACCGGCAAACTTTATTGACGCATTGACCACTGCTTGTGCCAAGGAAAAAAGACGATTACATTTTGATTCAGCTTTTGAATAAATGGAAAGTCAAACAAAAAAAAGGGAATTATTTTAATGAAGTCATTTTTTTCCCTTTTTGCTGTTTATGTCACGATGGAGTCTATCTCCACCGCCCCAGAGTTAAAAATGGTCCAGTTTTATGCCATCCTCCATAAACCAAGAAGTATCCTGTTAACGCCTAAAACAGATGGGCAAACCCGCCACAAATGTGTTCACTTGTAATAGTTCAGCTTTGCCAGAGCTCTTGAGCTCCGAGATATCCCATTCTTGTGATCTTTAAAGGCAGAATATTTAATGCTTTTACTCTCATTAGATGTTGTGGCCTGTCAGTAAAAAGTGAATCTTTCAGTCTTAACTTCCCCCTTCGCTGTGGGGGATCCAGCCTTGAATGTGTTTCATGTTTGGCTCCTGTTCTCCTGGCTCAAGGCAATGACTGATCAACCTGGGCTAAATCCTCGACAGATTTCTTTCAAGACTTGCATGGGGGCACATAATGATAGAAGCGCTTATGTGGATCTTAAAGTGTGGAACAGCCATTTAAATAGCGGCTCAGCGCAAAATAAAAAAACAAAAATGGATGTTTGAGTTCCTTCATTGACCTGTTTCCCGCCTCAGGGTAGCAAGTCGATGACTGTTGGCACTGTTAGAACCCTATTTGAATCAATTTCAACCAATGTGAATACTGTGAACCTGAGCAGCCACAGTCACGTAACAAGTTGAAACAGATTAAATGATGTCCAAGAATATTATGTCTGACTCATTCCTTTTTCTTGTTCTGTCTCCGATTAGAGCTCTTACCCCGTGTGGGAAGACTTCAGTGCCAAGGCTACAAAACTGCATTCTCAACTCAGGTGAGGAGTAATTTTATCAGAGGCTTGACCTTACTGAATTCTTACTGAGAATACATATATTATCATATATTATCAACATGTTTTCAGGACAACAATTCTGGCAGCCGTGGCCTTTTTAGATGCTTTTCAGAAAGTGGCCGACATGGCTACCAACTCAAGAGGTAAGGCTGTTGTTTTAGAAATACAACTCAATGAAAATGTGAGTTACAACGTATACTGTGTGTACAACCATCTCAGTTTGCTGTTTCCAGTGTTACTTTGGAATTCTCATTTTGCAACAATAAAATCAGTGTTTTCAAGTTAGTTTCTTTGAAAAGTGTGTAAATATACATACATACAATATATACAGTTCTATCGAGTAATTTGTATCAATTATATATGTTAGGGCTGGGTGATAATTCAACATCAAGATGTATTGTGATCGACACGTGAATCACATCAATATAAAATGTCTTCAATAAATTGCGCGATAGAAAAAAAAATGAATCAGGAGCGATCTTGGTATCGGGCTTGTTGGAGGCAGGAGACTACGATGTGGCGTTAGATTGTACCACAATTAAAAGCATGTGCAGTAGGAGGTCATTCAAATGAATGACCAAACAATTTAGTCCGACTCTTGCAATAAAAAAAATTGGGTTTGCAACCTCTGGTATGAACTGAAACCGGCGTTTTGTTTACATGGGAACTGTTTGCATGAGTCCACGTTCGATGACAGTTAGACTTAAACAATGTGAGAATGACAATTGTTGCAGTTTAGCAGAGAAAACGGTTCAATCCCTCTTCCTGCTCATGTATCGGAGTAGGAAGATGACATAAAAAAGAGGCCAGTGACATCGTCGTCACATGTTTAACTACTTTACGAACTCTGTCAAACTCAGAAGCTCTGTGCCATATCAGTACCTAGTACACAGTAATAAAGTTGGACGCGTTTCGTTAAAAGAGGTTGGACGCAGTCTTATTTAGCTTAAAGCAGACAAAGGACTCAGCCAAAGTACTACTTCCCACTGCATGGTCACCACGCAAGTATATTAACACAAAGTGCAATGCGCATGTCCACAAAATGAAAAGGAGCACATGTACAGAGTTAAGGTGGTCTTTTCAAACGAAGACTCTCAAACTAATTTTTTTATGATCCTCATTCTGTGCTGGAAACATTTCTCTTGTGGTCACAGATTCGACTTCTTCTGCTTTGTTAGTACAACCTGCAACAGCGCATCAAGCTCCCGAGACAATTTTTCACTGCAATGATCATTTCAAAAAGGGGGGCTGGCGATTTCAAATAAAGTGCTATATGTTAAAAAACAAACAAACAAACAAAAAAAAAAACACTGTAACAAATACCAAAATTCTTACCGGAAGTGTCTAACAGGAAGTCGCAAAGATAATCGTTTCTCCATGAGAGCATGAGAGCCCTGAGGAACAAGCTGGATAGATCTGGTGTTAGCACAATCAGGCAAGTAAAACATGAATGGACGATGGTAATAATGGGCTCGCTAAAAGGAAATTGTAGTCCTAAGGCTGGATTGAGTCAATGATTCTTAATTTTTCTCACAGTTAAACACCCATCGCGAATGGTCACTTTGCATGCATGTCACGTGAGGCACAGGCCACAGAGTTGAATGTCATTTGGATTTGTATCACCCCTTTCAAACTTTCATAGCCATGTTGATTCTTCTCTCAATGCTAAACCCGTGCTTTGCTGCCACGCTGCCGACTGGGATAAACAGTGCCAGGCTGAGCTTTGAAGTCAAGAAAAATGTTCTCTCAGGAAAGTGATCAGAGATCCGCATGCCTCTTGAGCGTGGGATTGCATGATCCTGAAAGCTCCTGTTTCACTGGTAGAAAAACCTGCACTAACTTTGTACACCAGGGCCACAACTATTTATGTCTGATGCTATCAGTCTTCAAAATAGCATGTGCTCTCTGATTTATGTTTGTGACTCTTTGTCAGTGAAAACTAACACCCAGATAGACATAACAACGGATTAATGCAAGCAAATAAGCGGTGGTTGTGTCTTGTAACAGTGTTTATCAAAACGTTCAGGGCCAGTCATATTTTTCAGCTCGTTGTATCGACTGAAAAAGATTTAAAATTACATATATCTTCTTTTTCAAAGGTCACAAAACAACAAATAAATATAGAGGCACAAAGATCTTACCAAAACGGAACAGTGCTAGCTTAATTTTATATTACGCACTGTTTTCAGGGATTGAATGGGGCTCGATGGTGGCAGTCACTCAACTTCAAGTGACTCAAAAAGAAAAAAAAAGTGACAGGAACATCCATGGTGTTGTTTACATAAACATTTCCTTTATTGTGCAGTTTTTGGAATCATTTTTCTTTGCGACTGTGTGACTTCCTTTTATTGTCAGCTCTCTGTGGGCACTGTGCTGTCAGCCTTTAGTTTGTCATTCAAAATGATCGTGCCTGACAGTATGCCATGTTTTTATTGGCCCATGGGGCAGTTATGAATGAGTCCTCCGAACCAGCCAAATGTGATGTGACCACTAAGAAGAATTCAACAAATTGTGTTGAATCGGCAAGCAACTTACTCAACATTTTATTTCATGCTATCTGTACCGTTTTCTAATAAATCATAGCAGGATGAGAAATTAAAACATATTTCTTAACACTTTACTTTCTGTCCCAATAATATTTGTCACTTATCACTAATAAGTAGTGCAATAACCGTTGGCCTCATGTGACCTGCAAGTCTACAACTACAATGCTCTTAAGATATCCAAAGTTCAGGGGCAAGGCTGCTCAGAGAAGTGACTATCCAAGCTTATTGTTTCTTTGGTCCTAATGAAGTCTGCTGAGCTGCTTTGTTATCCAGCTCGCCGCAACAGCAGCACCAGCAGGCAGACTAGCCACAGGCACAGCTGATTAACACAGATTTCTTTGGAGTTGATCGTCGAGAGCAATATGTAGGTCAAAACCCCCTGCATGAGTACAGGCGAGCCTGTAAACACCCCTGGCATACGCACACATGTATTAATGAAACAGTCCATGCATGCACATAGACTTATATTTAAGGCCAACAGCTGGTAGATGGATACTTGATCTTTCACATGCTTTGAAACGCCCTGTATTAGTACTTACACACTTAGTACTCTCCACTTGCTGCCGTGTGTTTATGCATTGTCACATTGCCTTTTTGTTTCTCCGCTAACTGAGCGTATTGTGGAGACACCTTCAATTACCTAAAGTGATTCCAGCAATGCATTATTTCTGCAAAACAAAACAAGGTTTTGGGGGGGTGGTTAGACAATGGAAAGGCACGACTTCAAAGTAAACAGTAGTTGCATTAAATCGAAGAATACATCAAAATGATAGATGGAGCAGGGCGATTGAGAGATGATTGAACAGACGTATTAGTGTGTCATTCAAATGTCCACTCAATTCACTGCTCCCCCTCTCAGGGACATTTACTTTATGATTAGTACTCTCATTCTCAAGCAATCAGCTGTATGGTGAATGTGGGAAGTGACATATTATGATACTGTACTGTTGCGGTATGCTTTGGAAAGTGTGTGAAGACGAGAAATGTAGTGCGTCTACAACAACTGTCGACAGGTAAATGACATTATTGAATGCTGATGGTCCAAAGTTCAATATTGAGATGACAATATCCAATATTATCATCCATCCAATCATTCGGGTTTTTTCGACCACTTCATTCGGGTTGCACATGGGCTGAAACCTATCCCAGCCTTAACTAGCCGTCCGCCAATCGCAGGGGTCTTATGAACAAAGAACTCAATCTTACATTCACACCATCTTTAAATTTACCGAGGAAGCACCTTTTCAAATGTTGGATGAAGCCGGATTGGCATGGAGAAAATCCACACAAGTGCGGTACTCAACATGTATTCATTCGCAAAGGAGGGTCTGAAATGACAGCCAAACCCAGAAATTCTGAACTATGAGCTCGCCTCTACCCCACTCTTCTGCTCAATGGAATTCCTTTTGATAAATGTTGTATTGAATCGATTCAGGCTATTTAGAGTGCACTTACTGTCACCGATTGATTTAATGTTAATTAGTTTGCGATCCAAAGAAGAATGTGATATCAAGGGAAGTTCCACATCTCCGCTATGTCTTAATCCTCCGTGCAGCCTAAATCTGCTAAATATAACACTGAGAATCAACACAATTATTCCAAACGTTGAAGATTTAACATGGTGCAAATTAGTTGTCGATTTTGTAAGGCTAGTCTTTGAGTTGTGATCCCCTGGGAATTCTGTTAGTCCCAGCAATTTGCTTGAAGAGAGTGTGTCGACATTGACTGGAGCTGCCCTTTGTGTTAACATTTGACTAGGTTACATAATTCCAATCGTTTCGTATTAAATCATTTTTCTTCTTATTATAACGCACATTACATAATAGAAAAATAGATGGAGCCTATCCCAGCTGTCTTCGGGCAGTAGGCAGGGGACACCTTGAACCGGTTGCCAGCCAATGGCAAAGCACATTGTTTTGTTTTTGTTTTTCATGTCAGTGTTAGCACAGGTCACAACTCCCAAATGATTTTCTTCGAACTTCTACCGATTATCTGTGTTCATCAGATCCCAAACCTTGTTAGTTTTGAATAACATTTGATGCTCTGGGAGCTGAGGTTAGAGAACATACAGTAATGGGAACATGTTTATTGCCCTGCTGGTTTGTAGCTTCTTTGAGTCAATGTACATCACACAATACAAATCAGGAAACATAAACTTACATTTAAACGTAATGTTGTCTGATGCAATATTTTTTTTTAACAAATAACATCAAGCCTTATGGAAGAAGACTTAAACCTAGCGTCCGCAACCAAAACTCAAGTGGAAAATATGTCTGTATAGTTGGATGTTTGATGTTTGGAAGCTATAAATTGCTCCCTGTTGGATATTAGAACTGTAGAAGGTTTACAGGCACATCTTGGGCTTCACTTTTCAGACTTTAGAAATCCTTTTATACACAGAACTTTTGACATACTCGTTTAAATTCAAACACAAAGAAACACCCCACTCAGACACACGCACGCACGCACGCACGCACGCACGCACGCACGCACGCACGCACACACGCACACACACACACACAGACACACACACACACACACAGAATGAACACATGGTTGCCAAAAAAAGCCAAATTTCACTCCAATAACAATTTCCC